CTCTCTCTCTCTCTCTCTCTCTCTCTCTCTCTCTCTCTCTCTCTCTCGCTCTCTCTCTCGCTCAATAACAAACTGATTTGATGTTGCTAGGAAACAGGTCCTATTTTTTTACTGTAATTTTATTCTAATTTATTTTCAGAATTCATTCCAATTTCCTGTCTGGGGAGTAAATCAGAAGAAAGACATAAATAAAAACATGGACACTCTACTTCTATCTACGAGAATAAACGTGACTAATTGGGGGTGTGGAGATGACAGCAACCCCTCTCTTCAAACTTCAGTAGAATATGGCAGCGCATACATAGTAATTAATAGCACAGGCATCACTGTTGTTTGCAGCATGAAAGACAATGTGACGTCTGTATGCATTCTAATGAAATAAGCTGATTTTTTTAATGCGATTCATCACGGTTGTCAGTGCTGCTGCTCCTATCGCAACAGAGAATCTCTTCCATGTCAAGGATCCCCGCTCAATACTACACACAGCACTGCTTGTTTTACTCTAATTACACATTTGATTAAGCAACAAAACATTACCGGTGAAGAGAATCTAATATGGAGATATGATCGCAGAATCTCTCCATTCGATAACTTGTGAAAGAAACAGCAGTCTCCGAGCTAGAACTACTGACAGGCAGAACAAAAGCCTGGTGTGAAATTATTTTCAACTTGGGTCCTTTGGGTGCTTCACAATGGTGCTCCACAGTTTTTACTTCCTCACTGTGCAGGTCAATAGCTGACTGAGGATTTGACGCATTTTAAAAACAGGCAAAGTGCAACTCCAACGTAAGGCTCTTACATGATTCCTGACTACAAGGTAGACGATGCTTGAACAGTATTATTGTTATTGTAGGCATTTCTCCCTCAAGGATTGTATAGCATGTCCATACCTGCATGTGGTAGGGGTCCAATCAACAGACCAAAACAAACCATGAGCTCATGGTGCCAATAAGCATGCTGCCTGTGTAGCATGCTTATGTATGTTCAATTATTAAATTATGGTCCCGTTTAGAGTGAAATGGACCATAAAGCAGGGTATGCTTCAGGGCGGGGCTACCCTGTGATTGACAGGTCGCTACCACAGTGTTGTACGGTCTGGAAGCTGTCCATGTTTTCATTTTAAACCTTTTTAACCCATTCGTAGTTGAAAGTCAATTGTAAAAAAAAAATTTGCACTGAGCTCCAACTTCTTGTCACTTCTGGTTGCAAAAAACCAAGATGGCGACAGACAAATTTCAGAACTGAAAACTTCAGTCCACAAACCAATGGGTGACATCACAGTGGCTACATACACTTCTTATACACAGTCTGTGAGGAGATCAGGAAAATATTGATGGACAGAATAACACATTGTTGGTTTTCGTGTTTTCATGATATTGACAATAACAAAAATAGCAAAACACCAGCCGTATCATTTAAATCAGGGGTTTCAAAATGACGGCAGCCCCAGGGACCGAACCGGCTGCCAAAGAGTCCAATCAGGGCCACATGTATTGTGAATGTGAGAGCACCAGTTCAGTGTCACTGAGGAGTCAAATCCATTAGTGACAGTGTAGCGAGCTCACAATTCAAAACACAGTGGAGTCAAGTGTGAAGTTCACCACGATATGAATTTAAATATAAATCCCTGTGTGTTTTTTGCTGTATAATGTCCGATCAAGCTCATCTCTGACAGTGTCTTGTGCATTTTCACAGACTTTGAAAACCAGCTCACAAAATCGTAATTTGCCTAACTGAATCAAAACCCTCCAACATGCCGGTCTCCGCTCTGAAAGCTCAGCTCTGACAGCCGACTGCACCGCTAGATCAACAACTGTGGCTGGAGCGGCCCGAATGTACCCGGCCTCATTTTCAAATTCTCAATTAAAGTGAGAGTGCAGGCAGGCCAGCAGCAGTCTGAATGGATAACAAAGATCAACAGCCTGCCTCTAATGACGAGCGTTCAGCGTTGGTGCACGGATGAGACTCAGTGGGAAGGCTGTAGCACCAGGGAGCTGGCATGGGAAATGAGAAAAATGTGAGATACTGACAGTTCAAATCACTCTTTAATGAAGAACACAAATAGGCTCCCATTGAAGCAGACTGTACATTAAATTGCATCAGGAATACAATGAAAAATGCCAAATCAACAACACATGCTGAGGCAGCATAAAGACCACGCATTAAATAAAAACATATTCATGAAAGATGGTCAGCCAGTCTTTCAAATCCAAAATTCATCAGTGTTGAGCAAAGAATCTGAGGTTATCTTCCACGTTAAAAATAGACATGGTCGTCAGCTCAAGTATAAGTTCACGGCAGCAGCCTGTATTTAGGTTGCTATAGAAACCACAGGTTCATACAATTACTTTTGGCTTCAAAACAAGACTGAAAAAACAGATGAAAGATTTTACCTGTTCCACTTTACTTGTTGCTACGAGGCAGGCAAGAAAAGACTAAAAATAATGAAAAACCTTCTACAGGGACAAAAGAATAAAACTTAAGAGATCAGACAAGATCAGAACCACTGAGGTCCTGTTTATTCTCAGCACAGACCACATCGCAGTCCAGCTACTGGTAGAACATGACATCATTAAAGACACAACACACAACACTTCAAGAGAAACAGAAAATAAAAAGAACAGAAGAACAAAAAATAGCATACATACATATATCACACTGTACACACATATGCATATATGTACAAATACACACATAAAGTACATGCAAACAATATTGACATAAGAACATGTAATCATTTATAGCAAATTAACAATTTAATTAATGGGTCAAACAGTGAGCAGCTCCTTTTATAAATAAAAGGTTTGGTGTTGTCTTTTCTTATATATTATATATAAACCAATTATCGACGAACCGTTTCAACTGTTGCCATCTTAATGACATAGACAAGAAAATATATTGAGCTTTTTATGGCAACATCTCAGTTAGCATGCTACATGTGGAAGCCTGCCTTTTGTCTTTTAGCAGTGGTTTCTTTATTTATAGCCTGCCGTACAGTTAGTTAGTATGTATTGTTTATAATGTTATGATCACTTTTCTTCTTGGCTTTGTATGTGATAAATGTACATACAGTTTACACTCAGACACACCAATATGAACCCATGTACCAGTAACTTTAATTAATAATGGATTCAAACTCGAAACACAGACGTAAACTAAAACATATGTGCTCCCCTGATTTATGATGCAGCCAGAGGTCTTTATCACTCAGCTAACAGCAGCAGTGTGCAGTACCACGGTTCACTCATATGTTGAAGGAGACGTGTGGACATCAGAACCCTGTAGTGTAAACGGATACTCAAGAAAGCAGCATTTGTGACGGTGTCAGAGCCTGACTGTGCATGTAATAGTGTGGTGGTTGATGTGTCCTGGGGGGCGAGGCAGCTTGTGCATGGTCTCCTCTATATATAATCACCAAACACATTCAAACATTGAATAATGACTTGTGGCTTCAGCTGGACGACCAGCGGAAAAGAAATGAATCACAGACAAGACTTATTTCTTATGTGCGCATGCTATCATCTTTCTGAGCTACCCTGAATAAATAAAGTTCCTCAATAAAGAATCTCTTTATTGAAGCTATTACTTGTCCTAAGAGGCAACAATCCAGTAAAGAATTAAGTGACATGTAAATAAACAGCTCCTGCTTCTCGCTCAAACTCAACCAAGGCTTAATCTGTTTTCATCCAAAAGCACAAAGCACATCACAACTTTACTTTTAACATCATAAGTTCATGCAACGCCTCTGCCGCTCAGTGGGCTTGGAAGGATTTCATTACATCTCTGAATTTTCTCTAAAATCGGTTAAACTCTGAGTGACAGAAAGGGAAAAAAACGGTTAAACTTTTTGTACCGTTTAAACTAAACAGCACCACAATTCCACGAATGTCACATCCATTAAAAAACAACATAATAACCGGAAACCAAGTACAGAACTTGCAGGAGGGTGTATGTTTGCACACAAGAGAACTCACCTGCGAGGTAAGGGGTCAGGACAGTGTGTGAGGGGGCTGCTGGCGGTGGGCGAAGGCTCCCTTCGGCTCCTCAGCGACTGGCTCCTCTGCACCTGCCTCAACACACTACTCTTCAGGTCCAGCAGCGTCGTCATTCTCTCTCACTGCCAGAAAAGACACAAAGAGGTGCAAGCCGTGATTAGCACCGTTTGAGTAATTCACCTCTATTCTGGAGGAGTGAGTCAAAATACATTTAATTTCAGCTGTGCAGCTGCATAACCTCTCTGCTCTTGTAACATAATGATGCTCTTCTTCAGCAGGAGGTGTGTGTTCTATTTCTGTCCCGAGTATAATTGATGCAATTTATCTTCCACCTTTTGGTCTGGCCGGTTCAAAGGCAATCAACCTTTATTTTTGGGGAACACATTTTGCACAAAATATGCAACTCGGAGCTGAGAGCCACAAGAGCCCCATAACAGCAATGTCATTAAAAAAACGGTGATATCACTTCAATGAAATGGCAACAGAGCTATGTTTAAAAAATGATTCCAAAAAATGTCTTCATCATAGACCTGGGGCATCTGCAGGACAAACACTAAAAGAGGATCTAAACACTAGACTGTGATGCAGAAACAGCTCAGTCAAAGCCAGATGATGTGAAACAGAATAATAAGACTCTGACTGAGGGTTAATGAAAGAAGAGTTAGTATGAAAAGTAATGAAATGTGGGCTTTACAGAAAAGTAATTTAATAATGAAGCAAAGTTTAAATGAGAAACACATTTCTGTACTTATCTGTACAGCGAAAGTATTTTAATCCATCATTAAACATGCATTAATAGTTCATTGTATAATTGACACTTTAATCCTCTTGGGGAAACCGGTAGCTCTTTAAACAACATTACTTGTTGAATAGTGAGCTCTAGGTGCTGATACAGTAGGTGGATTTTCTTAACCTTTGGTTAGTCTTTATGCTAAGCTAGTTTATGCTGGCTGTACTGTAGCTTCATATTTAACAAATACCAGTAAATATGATCTTCTCATCTAATTCCATAAAGCATATCAGGGAATATCCCAAAGGACTCTTCACCAGCCATTCTGTGGACCAACAATTTATCAGAAGAAACCATCTCCAAAATATATTTTCCAAGATATATCAACTTTTTCAAATGCTGTAAAACTCGAATTAATGAATGTGTTCACAAACAAATGCTCAATTATTAATAACCAGAATGATTTAATAGATAGCCAGTTTGGAGGGCATTGACTGACAGGCATTATATTTAATGAACAAATGTGATACAAAATCATTATTTTCTTAATGTTTAATCTTAACATATAGCAGTTTCACTGTGTTAACATTTAACAGAAGCAGAAATGTTATCCAAGCATTTGCAGGGGTACTTGGGATGTCGTGACTGTGAAATGTGAATTTAGAAAAATGAGCCAATCTGGTGACCTCAGAGAGATCTGCACTCTGTCGCTAAACCATCCACTGAGACCGAGCGGGTCTTTCTCAGAGCCGCAAAGTGAACTCTCATATTGGCTTCATGGCGTCTTTAAAGTATAACTGAATTATATGACCTCATATAATAATAATATTGTGCTCCGTCAGTGCTCCCCGCAGTAGAGAAGCTAAAGTATAAAGCAAACTGTTGTGTTTAGGGATTTTTAATGAAAATGTCCACGTCTGGACATTTTCCCCAAGGTAAAAAAGAAAAAGGTAGAGTCAGCAAGCTGTACAATAGCAACATCAATTCACATCAGCTTAGTGTGATAGTGATAAGTGTGATATCAGCTCTTAACTGTGACCAGAGCCGAGTCTGTAGGCACAGGAAGCCAAAATGTAACTGTCTTCTGAATTGTATTTGATTGACTTAAGGGCCACATAATTAGCGTGAATATCATTTTTAAGAGTAATGCCCCTTTATGACCTTTTTATTGTCAAAAGTCAGACACTGAACTTCATCGTGTTTCTGCAGTACATCTCTGCTTTATTAGGAGTTAATCCTTTTAATCTCAACAGACGGTTGGGCATCTAAAAATACCTGCGCTTCAATATTGAAGTCGGTCACTAAACCCACACCAGGACCAGAATATACGTTTATTAGCCGCCACTTTTTTCAAGTACAACATTACATTTGAAGCCACTGTGGCGCCTAGTCAAAAAGCATGAAAATGAACTGATTGCAAGTTTATTAAATCACATAAATGTCCGTAGTTCCTACAGCAAAACTCTCAGGGATGCTCACGTCTGCCTAGCAACTGAGGAAGAGAGTGAAGCTTATCGTTAAATCAAAGACTCCTCCTTAACAGCATCCGCACTTTAGTCCCCCGCTTGTCCAATTCACTGCATGTTGACTGTGATGTGAGCTCCTGTGATACTGGCTGGCTGAACCTGGATGTTTGTGAGAGCCTCGAACATTCAGCGTGCTGATGAGCAGCAGCAGAAAAAAGAAAAGACGAATGATGAAGACACAAGAGAGAGGCTTTCATTGACGGAAACAAGTCAGACACTCTTTTCAATAGTTGACAGCCGTGAAAAAAAGAAGCGATGAACAATGGTTGCTTGGAGCTTGTTCTGATTTTCCAACCAGAAAAAGACACTTATTGTTATTAACAAACTGAAAGAGGATAACAGTGGAAAGTCATTCTGAGCTGATGCTCTATATTTTACAAACAATGTTCATTGGGGGGGGGGGGGGGGGTATGAGACTGTTGAAGGTTGTATGTTTTGAATGACAGCGCTTTCACCAAATAGATTCAAGAAAATGAAACGTATTTGCCCGTGTGACCGCTATCATTCAGACCAATTGCTGAGAGAGTTGCAGTGCAGCGTGCAGTCGGCTTCCCAGCTCGGATAAGGCAGATACTCGCAGTACAAGTAGTATCACTGACTGAGCCCAAAGGACAGTATGCTATCGATCCATGGGGCTGACACCTGTTATCCACATTCACACTTTACTCTAGTAGACTGAAGTGTCTGTGCTCCTTCTCTGGCAGATCCATTTGCCATTTCCAAGTGACGAACTGATGGAATTTCCTCTTTTTTTGACTTCTCTCGTGATTTCCTATATTTTCCAAACTAGCAGACGAGGATGAGGTTCTATTACAGGTTGTGGATGCGTAAACATTCAGTTAGCTAACTACTTGTCAACACAGATACAGGTCTTGTGGTATTGCTTTAGGGTGAAGCGACTGAGGAGCTGCCTCAAGAATATGATGGATTTATTCTGGTATTTTTTGAATGTCACTGCTCAACGTCTTGAGAAAGCTTTTGGTGTTTGAATCCGATTGAATCTCAGAGTTGTTGATACTTTCTGCCATCAATCTCCATTGTAGCTGCATAGGAAATATGTCATAAATATTTCCAGTGCGACTGTGGCTTAGTGCTCCACCACTAAGCCAGAGCAGGGTCGTCCTTCAATTAGAGGATTGGCCGATCTACGAGAGAAAAATGGATCGAGGTCTTCAGGATTTTATAGTGTATGATCTCTGCTCTTAAAATGACCAACCTCAGCCTTGTTGTCATATTAATATCATTACCCGTGTATGTGTGTGTGTACTTTTACATGTTCTACTATGTATTTTACTTTTTGTTTTCTTTCTTTTCAAGTGTAAGCTGACAGGGACTCACTGAGTAAAGTGCACGTGAAATAAACTGGTGTTTTTTGTCACATTCATCAAATGTACAGGTCAAGTTTGTGGAAACGGGAAAAGAGTTACCTCTTCAATATACCTTTCTACTTATTAGATGTTAATAAGGTCAGAAGAAAAGAAGAAAAGATATCTATTTAAAGGAAAAATTCAGATGACTTTTGAATCTTTATTATTTGTATACAAACAGCAGGGCACTCCTGCCAAAGGAAATGTCAAGGAATCACAAAATGTTAATGAGTTTGAATGGTGATTGGAATCGGGCAGTTTATTTCGTATCAATATTGTTCCAGTTCAGAAAAGTCTCAGGTGCATTTATGTGCATTTTGTCAATGACCGTCAGAGGCTACCGAGAAAGCGTTGAGTGTTCTCTGCTCTCCTTAGTGACCTCGTTGTGAGAGTGAAATACTCTCTCCATGACATCTTTAAAAGGCCGTGCAGCTCAAATACCTGAGGCATATTTTCTCGCTGTGGTAAACAGGAAAAATGCTCCAAACAAACCTGCTCAGGCGTCACAGCACATCCACCACATGCAGGCTGGTAGGCATGCATGGACTGCTGACAGCTAACAGGCACCGCGGAGCAGCTGTCTCCCAGGTGAACTCATTTCAATTACGGGAGTGGATCTCTCCCAACGGGATTTCACTCTGTCTCAGCCGTCAGCCCATAGTGACAAAACGGGGTCGACGTGCCACCGCCGGTGGAGCGCCGGCTGCCAAGGAAGCACTGTCGAAGCCAAGTAAATGCCTTTCTTGCTATATTGGTGCCGAAGTCGTGCCAGGGAAACACTTGCTAATGCTCAACAGTGTCTCTCTCCTGTGAGAGCCAATGAGTCCGCCAGCCAAAGGCGCCTTGCTGATAGGGAAGAGTGTCTCTATGGTAACAGCAGAAGAAAGGGAGCTGGTAAATACAGGTAAATGGAATTCTACGGTCTGATAAAAAGAGCCCCTTGGTGTTATAGTGTGTTCACCTCAATGCAGTAAAACACAAAAAAACATTATGTTTATACACAGTTCAGTACAACAGTTACTACAGGCCACAATCTGCGTCACACAGTGATGGAGAGGAATGCGATCACTGTTTAACTAACAGTGTTAATTCAATATGTACATAATAGAAAGATAATATTTCAATGTAACTTATGAACTTGTATATCTTAAGTATCTCAAGCGCTAGCTTTAAAACAGAATCACTGAAAGAAAACAGACCGTTTGTATTCAAATGAGAACCTGTAATTGTACATTTGCTTCTGCACTTTTTTTCCGCTGTATTGTCCGGCTACACTCTGCTAATTTTCAAATGTTTACTCCAGAGACAAAAGAGATTTTCTGTAATTCATCTCGTGAGCTGGTGAGGCGCGGCATTGGCTGGCTTACTGCCCCCACCTTAGGAGACGTTGTCACAGCGCGCAACGTGCATCACAACAAAGACCCAACTATCAGTGATGAAATTCGTTGCCAACTATTGTTATAATCGAATTTAATCGACTTAACACATTCGTTGTTGCAGCCCTACATCAGACAGAAGACACACCAAGAGACACTATAGCAGGGGATTTTATACACAACCAATTAGCATGCATTTAATTCATTACATTCTTAGTCGACAAAATGAAAGGGAAATAACTGTCTCCTTTAACAATGACACTGACAGTTGGTGTAATTGAATGAAAGACAACGAGCACATTTTGAACTTAATTTAACCACATGAGCCTGAGGAGGTGCACGTTCAAGTCACTGTAAGTCGATTATGCAGCGCTGATGTGAAAAAGCATGACGATCATAACCTTTACGACAGAGGCAAGAGCCTCATTATATGGCCATCAACGTTATAATTATGTCACTGTCCCTTAGGGACACGTGAGCTAAATGGATCCGGCTGCCAATTCCAATTCGGTGACAAATCTCAGAGCTTTCCAGTGGATTGGATTATGAAAAGTCACTGTGATCTATACGGTATGCACCTGCAGATAACACATAATCTATGAACCATCCAGATCCGGCCCAAAAAACACCATCCAGCCTGCTATTCCCAAAAGCTCGCGGTGTCTGTTGTCAAGGCACATGACAGGCACTTTGGCTTGGAAATTGATTACCAGAGAAAACCCCAGGAGTTGGTTGTGAGCTTGTGTAAAGGGCGTCTGCACCACAGCGACGCACACAATATAAAACTTTAACAATGGCACACATCCTTGCACAGATATCTGCTACCACAGATAATACATCCTTTGTCCTCGTGAAAATCACTCTCCCCAGTCGTAACAGTGCTGTCAAAAATAGAAGCCATCGAGCCTTTATGCAGGAACAAGAATGCCTCTCCTTACGCGCAAACACATCGGTGTGCATTCACAAGACACTGTGCTACAATAGCAGTGATGCTCTGAGTCATTCAAGTTCTCACGCACTATAATTAATGCTTCTGAACACAACGACTGACTACTATATTTGAGCAGCATTACCATAACCTGCTTATGATGTCTCTTTGAATGTGTGGCAAGAGGAAAACACTGGGGAAGCTGTTTTGTCTTTGACCACCGATCTATGGCATTTAAAATGGAAATTATTCATTAATGAGTGATTTGAAATTAATGGACTCATAATGATTAGTCTAAAGTGGAGTTAAAACCTGCATCCTGGGAGAAAGCCACAAAGAGATATTTACAATTCTTCTCTGACTGTAATTATTTTCATCCTCCTTTTAATCTGCTGGATATATTAAAGCACAGGTAAATTACGGATTTGGCTGCCGTTGCTGTCACGGGGACAAGATTATTCTAGATGAGCGCCGTCTTTGTGTGCGTGTGTGTGTGTGTGTGTGTGTGTGTGTGTGTGAGTGAGACGAGCGTCTCCAAATCGAAAAATTGATTTATACACAGTATGAGACATGCATAATGTGTGAGCTGCTGAGGAGGGTAAAATCACATTCAGATCAAGAGTTCTAAACTGCCTTTAATCTTATGACACTTGCTAATATACAAAAGTCTGGAATCCAGAGAAGAGCGCATCTTCCAACACAGACCTATAAATGTTTCACAGACTGCATTCTGAGTAAAATAACATGTTTTCAACTTCATGCTTTATCTTTATCTGATGCTGCTCTGATGCACCTGTGTGTGTGTGTGTGTGTTTATGTGTGTGTGTGTGTGTGTGTGTGTGTGTGTGTGTGTGTGTGTGTGTTGTTAATTCAAAGAGTGCGTGGCGTCTCCAGCTTTTGAAATGTACAGAGCAGGCTGATAGAATATATAAGGAGAGCGTTTACAAAACAATGATTCAACCATAAAACCCTCTCCAGCTGTCATGTTTCGGTAGAGCCAACAAGTGGAACATTTTACTGACATCCAGAATGTGAGTCTGCCTACATCTGGGTTCACACGGAGACGACTTGAGGTTTCCAACATTGTGTTTAAGATCTTTGTGGTGAACATTAGGGGAGCTTTTGGACATATAGCAGACATGTATTATTTCTTCTCAAAAAAAAGTAAAAGAGATTTGAGCTCCCGAGCTACATTATATGCCAATTACATGATCCTTCATGCACTGATATTTTATCTGGGCATCAACAGAACTTTATCCTGCGTCAATAAGGCTCATTTCAAATGATTTTTCAGCAGGGAATTCAGATCAACAGGTGCCAATGAACCAACCTCTAACAGAGTGACAGTAGCCTGAGTCAGTAAAGCGGATGCATGTTTTTTGTTTTCATTATTCTAAAACAAATGTTTCATGCACGTAAATGATAAAAAGCCAGCTCACCTGTGTCTCCTGACAGTTTTCCAGTGTGAAATGTTTTTTTTGCAGCTGCGTGTGTCAGAGTTCCTGAGAATCAAAGCTCTGATCTCTGCAGCAGCAGCAGCTGTTTTCTTCTGTCAACGAGGCGAATCAACTTCGGCGAAAACAACGTCTGGATATTTTTCTTGCGATAGAAGACAGACAGAAGCTCATTTTAGTGTTTCCAATTGCTTCCTGAGCTCAGGCTCCACTGATGCTCACCCAAATATGGCCATCGGAAGTGCAGCGACACTTCACTGCCCTCGATTACTGTCGGAAATATTAGACTACGAGGTGACAGCACGACACAAACTAAGGTTGAGTCAAAATGCAACTTCCGAGTTCTGATGTATCCGGATAACCGATTTTCAAAGCCAAGAAATGAAAAAATACATATATTATATATAAACTTCATTTATTGTACTGCACAGATTGTGTACTTTTGCTATAAACAAAAAAATAATAATGAGACCATTTGGGCAAGATAAGTTTAGAGCAATCTCGGCTTACTTTACTTTCCAATGTTCATATTTAAACACATGTAATAAACATCTACACATCCATATCAAAAACAACGTTTGAAATGTTTTTTTTAATTTATTTAAACCATGTAGCAAATTCACTTGACTGTTATTTCCTCAAAATAGCAGTAGACTAATTTCTCTCTCCCCTCAGTGCTTCTCATAACAGTTGATTCTTACTTCCGCTCAAAGGCGCTTGAATTTTACTATGTACACCTGAATGCATCATTTGACTGTTGTTGAGGGATGTCGCCGAGAAAAATCCCTGAGCGACGGAGGGAGCAGGTTCAGCTGTCAATCAGACGGAGATTCCTGCTTCGACTTTGTTCCGCCTAATGAGCTCATCCAGTGCTTTAATGTAACACTTTGATTGGATCTAAATATGATAATGGGGAACTCGGGAGATCAAGAAGCTATCACAGGCTTTGCATATAGTGCACATGGGGCTTGGTCTCAGTGTCAACCCCAAACAGGAAAATAAACAAACTATATAGATATAAATATATATATTTCCCATTTTCCACAATGTGCTAATGAAATATAACGTCCTTAATTCCTGTTTCTTAATAACAGTGTTTGAAAGAAAGAGAAGCACCGGCCCTTCTTTCTATTTTGTTTTACTGTGCTTAATGTTTAGTTTAGTTTCTACTACACTACACAGCTGACACATAACGTGCATTTAAAAAGAAACAGATCTGAGGGACTATATATTACGTCACTATAAGCATTATTACATTTGAACATTTGAATGATTTCCTGCTGATTAAAGGAGGACTGCTAAATTGACTACATGTTCTGTGTCAGTGCTTCATTGAATGACACAGCAATATTTACACATTGCCAATAAGGTTGAGCAGATGATGAACAGCACCTCGAAGCCCTTGTATCATAGTACGCCTCAGGCATTTTCTCACTACTCCGGGGAAGGGGAAGAGCATGTGCAAAATGCTTTAAATAGACACAGGGACATTAATTATGTGCTTGTAGGGTAGAGGTGCTTCTCTCTAAGCATAGAAATTATTTCACATGGCCATTATAACAGGAGCTGCAGTCAGGCACCCTCTCATAGGACTGACCATTATACCAATGGAAACCCTCATCGGCGTCAACAAAGTCAAAGCTCATCAACGTCCTGCTTACCGACAATAATCTACAGAGGAGCAAATCCTGAAGCTTTCATTATGTCGTGGAACTATTTCAATCAATCACAGAGTGGAATTCGTTCATAATGCCCAAGTATAAAATCTATTTATCAGATCTGTTATTTGGTAATAATAATTTCAGCAAGTATTGAAAATCCTTTGCTGAAAACAATAGACTGCTCAAAAGGTTTAAAAGCCATTTTGGAGCTACCTCACAGTCCTGTGTTAAGCAATTACACAACACTTCAGCGGTACATTAGGCAAACACAAAAGCATTCAAGGAGATAATAGCTGCAGTTCAGAGTTAAAAAAGAATCATACAGCCACTGCTTTTCAGCTCAAAGCTAATTAAAACTTGATAATTGACAATGACAACGTAAAGGCTTGATCTGTTTGTTCTTTCTTTGACGTTTTCTCACCAATGCATATTGAGAGGGGGACATGTCTCTTACTGATGGTGAGTTTCTTCTGAGCTGTGACGGAAGAAGTGGACGTAGTCACCGTGACATCATTTTTGAAGCCTCAATTTCAACATTTTAGCTGTAGCCATCTTGTTTTTTTCAAAAACAAGTGACACAAGAGGGTGGAGCTCAGTATGACCAAAGCTTAATAAGAGATTTTTAGGCAACCAAACATTTTATAATTAACTTTCATGAACTGAAAATACTGTGAAAGGGTTGAATTTCTAAGAACAAAACACAGACAACTCCCAGACCGGACAAAGTCGTTGATTGTTTATCTTACTCTAAATGGACCATAATTTACTAAATGAACATCATGCTGTATTAAAGAAGACTTGTTACTAGAGATTGAGACCATAAACTCATGTTTACAATGTTTACTGAGTCAATAAATCAAGTGAGAAGTAGAATCATCTTCTCATAGACTTCTATACAATCAGACGTATTTTTTAAAACCAGAGGAGTCGCCCCCTGCTGGCCATTAGAAAGAACGCAACTTTGAGGCACTTCCTCATTGGCTTCACTTTGCAGAAACCGTCTAATTCACCAACGAGGAAAAACGAAAGCTAGACTTCTCTCTGATGTTGATGTGTTTCGACATGATTTTTAAAATCTCAGCATGATTGAACAGAAGGCTTTTCCCGTGTTGAGTGATGAAACACATGTGACCCTCTGCCTTGTTTCCATGGACACATCATTAGAGAACTTCCCCAGCTGGCCCCGACTGCTTGTGATGACAGCAAATAACAAGTGAAGGATTTAGTAATTCAAATCCAACACTCAATCTGATTAAGATTACATTTTTTGTTTGTAGTTGTGTTGTGTTATTTCTCCTTTTTTTACGATTATTTTATAATTTATTTCTACTTTGATGGACTCCAATCATATGAAGACTGCAGCACCAATCACTATGAAGTCACTGCATTCTCACTTTGAAATCACATCTTCACATGAGTCATTCAGAGGTTATTCAGACACTGTGTTCTTGAGCCTGACTGCTGCAACTTTTGCAGATGCAAATCAGTCTTTCTTCTTTTCTTTTCTGTAGTGTATATGATGTTTGTGCAAAGAAGAGCAGTGCATTGAAGAGTCATTTTGTCGCCACCATATTGCCTCACATATGCACACTGAATGCTTCCCAATGACACGTTCACCAGCATTTCCTGATCAGATTACAGATATCAATACAGAGTAACTGTTGATTCTGCCGTTTGAATCTGAGCTCAACCCCAAGCTTGCACATTGGACAATGGAGGCAGTAACATGTTTCCAGAGCTCACTTTTTGACCCACTTTGTTTAGTGATGAGCGGCAAAACGCTGGTTTCAAATCTCCCACAGTAGTATTCAGTTGAACTTCATTTTTAATGGCCAATATCACAAATCACCCCCCTGAACAATCTATTAACGGGGTAAAAAAGGAACAAACCTCAGGGAGAGCAACTGAGGAAGCAACAGATGTCATGTGTACAGAATGTACAATGTAACAATATTATACCAGTCCATATGACAGATATGATACCTATAATGAGAGTAATAATAGCACTAATAACAGCAGAGGAGATATGAGAAAAAACATATTACTACTTATAAAAACAGCAACAGTGGATGTAACAGAAGGATGATGATAATAAAAGCAGTTATAGTAAGATACATGTGACTAACAATAACAATAATAACAGCAGTGGGTATCAGGCAGGGCCACGGCCCAGGTATACCCACAATCCATGGAAACCTGAAAGGAGAGTCCTGGAGAGAAGTTCATAAGACAAGAAAAGATAGCTGGTTTGAGGTGCATGTACAGCCACCCAGTGGTGAGTAGTGTGTAAGTACTGCACCCTGTGTGCTTTGGCTCACACTATAATAAGCTTTCAATAAGATGCAGCACTAATTCAGCTGGATGCGCCTTGAAGCACCCAAATCAAAGTCACGCATTTCTTCACGGCGTATCGATCTCTGTGCGTGTGCCAGTGTTGGATCCACTCCACAGCGACATCAAGCCGTGGTGCATCTCTGCACAATACAAGTGCCAATCAGTGGAAGTGTTTACAGTTCACTCCATCAGTGAGAACAAGAAGCTAATCAGCACAACACAAAACAACTGTCACTCAAAAATCTACACTATTATCTCCAGAGAATGTGCTGTTTAGTTATTGACATGATGAGCGTGACAACACTTTAGTTTCACCGAACACGCTCAGACACTTGAATTATCGCACAGGGCTGAAACTAACAATTATACAACAGCAGCATATGATGTTGATGATCTTGACATTATGGACATGAATACAATGTGTTTTTCTTTTCATCACAATTTGCCAAGATGTTTTATTAACGTGCAGACAGAAAGCAAACAGTAAGTATAGTTCCCAGGGAATTAGACTGTGACTGATATGTTGAACTGGATACATGGACAATGCATCAACAACTAGAACATTGTGACACATGTCTTCCTTTTATAATGATCATTTACTTTATTATTTGTGTTCTATTGCTGAACACCATATACAATCAATACTGTAATTACAAGTCAAACAATGACACTGAAATCAGTCACCAAACATATACATACAACATTTGAACAATCAATCAATGCTCTTTGTGTAGATGATAAAAGACAACTGCAATCATTTTCATATCAGCTTCATTTGGCATCATTAAATCCTTGGGATATTTGTGGGTGTATTTGCTCTTCTCCATCTTCTCCGCCTACATAATAAAGGAAAACATATTGTCTGTTCAGAAGGATGATTCAGAGACTGATTAAAATACTTTGAAATGTGCGTTAGCCACCAACCCACAGTGTTTTCCCTCTCACATTCTCAATAACACCTACGATGTGACAACCTGAGGAGTAACTTTTCGATAGATATCTGACGAACCATTGTATTCGGATGCGTGGGGCAAAGACATTAACAAAGAGATGGTGGATTTACACGTCATCACCACGTCACTCTCTTATATAAATATATACTTACACACATGGTGACTGCCAATGATAACAGAGACATCACAGTAGCCTCCTTGTGGGGCATCCCAAGTGCTTGACTCTCACGAGTGTGTCCTAGGCTGCCAAATATGAAAACAAGTAGTCTGCACAATAACCCAGCTCTCAGATGATATGTAGGAGTGGTTGGTATTAAATCAACTTGGTCATAAAAGCTTCCTCAGTGAAAGGTGCAGGCCACCTCTAAAACAAACACATTTGGACTCTTGATTGACCATCTCAACATCTGGTTTATTGGCCAACTATATCTGCAGCTGAAAATGAGAAGATATATCTGAGTCTATCACCATGGTGAGTAGTTCAACGCAACGCATGTTAGCTGTCCTGGCTCGCCATTACGTGGGTTATATGCAAATTCAAGTGCATTACTTTTCATAGCTTTAAGTATGAACAGGATAAGAGAACAGCCTATTCAAAGTTATGGCAATGAATTGTTTGAGGATATATATTATCCATGTATATATTGTTCTGGTGATATGGTGCTGCAGATTTCCTTCCTTAAATGAATGCAGTTGTAAAAAAAAACAAAAAACACAACATTTGTTTATTAATCAGTCTGCACAATGTAATTATTGGCCATTAACATGGCTGGCTAGGTCCGCATTTAAATGAAAGAATGAAAGGAACAGGGTTAGTGAGAGCAGCGACGGTACAACGAGTATCTGGCTGCAGTACTGCCAGGCTGCTGCTCTTACTCCAGTCCAGCAGGTGGCACTAACGTGGTGGTAAACCAGCTCACCAGCTGCCAAAACAAACATGAACAAGAAGAAGACGAAGAAGAAGTAGAACGATTCTGCTGTTAGCTTAGCCCGAATATGCCTCTAAATATGTGACAAATGCGAGGTTAAGCAAATTTTTGGACACGCTTTCTACTTCAACTGTCATATCCTGCAAATCATGGCGGACTATCAGTTTCTGGTTGAACATGGACATCTCGGCCGAACCGGTCGGTTGCCGTTTCTGCTGCTCTTGTTGTTATTGTAGCTATCGCCAGCGTTAGCTAAGTAGCTAACACTGCTGCCTTCGCTTTCAGTATAACCGATGTTGATTCATTGCTGCGGGGCGGTAAACCGCTAAAACAAGGTAACCCTGGAGCAAGTTGCAGACATCAATAACGGACCGTAGCAATGTTTCTGTTACGCTTCTTAAGTAATTAGGTAATTGGCATTGGGCGGTTTGTTGGCAAGGTTGTAGCGCACGGAATTCTAACGTCAAGTGAAATTACACAGTTACAGCTGCATGCTTGAGAAGAAGACCACTCAACTAAAATGGCATTACTAGCTAAGGTCAGCTAACACACCTGAGGTTGCCAGCAGTCAGTGCTGACTACATGTTTAGAGATGGAGCAGCAGAGAGCAGCCGGGGAGATGGCTCTTCTTCTTTACAGCACATCTGTCTGAGTTGTCCAGTGGAAGAGGAATCATGTCTTGCAAAGCCGCAATCAAGGACAAGAAGTCGAGCTTCAGCAAGAAGCTTTTCAGGCGAGGCTCTGTCCGCTCTGTTGGCAGTTTTATGAGCAGAGTCCTGAGGACACTGACGGCGTTATCACACGTTGGATCTGAAGTGCCAACAGAAGACGACAAAGACGATGGAGGCTTTTCAACTTTTTCATCTGGGAGCAAAGATGTGCCCATGGACGATGGGGACCTCGCGGGTTTCCTGTCAAGAGAGAGAGTTCCTGGAGTGTCGGGCCTCAAAAACCACGGGAATACCTGCTTCATGAACGCGGTTCTGCAGTGCCTCAGTAACACGGAACTCTTCGCCGAGTACCTGGTTCTGGAGCACTACAAAGGCGAGGAGCCGGAGGAGGGCAAACCAAAGACAAATGGCGTACTACATCTGCAGAAGAAGGGTCCTCTGTCCAAAGGAGAAGTTACAGAGCAGCTGTCAGGACTCGTGCGGGCTCTGTGGACGTTTGAGTACACCCCGCAGCATAGCAGGGACTTTAAGGTAAATGCATGATCAGTATTTACCCACAACACTGCTACATACACGTTTATTCATAAGATATACTTTATGATCAACATATCTAAGTTCACTCCAGGATAAACAGGGCTGAGACATTGCATGCCTCGTAACCCTTGGACCATGCTGTTTTTTTGCAGAATGCTGTGTCGAAAAATGCCACCCAGTTTAAAGGGAATGCTCAGCACGACGCTCAGGAGTTTCTGCTGTGGCTGCTGGACAGAGTACATGAGGACCTCAACACCGTCAACCCCAACATCAGGCCTGCTATAAAGGTGTGTTTACCAGACTTGTGTTATGGGGCATCGGTTGTTGTTTTTAGTGAAAAGCAGTGATTGCATGTGGCAGATTCCCCTCTTATTGCTCAGCCATACGATCCTTTATATCTGGGAAGCTAAAACATAGTTATCCCAGATGTTATTGCAGGACATTGTACCTCACAGGTGTTTAAATGATTCCGGTCACTCAGTGCATTTTTACAAATGGGCTGCATTCACATTCCTGCTGATCTAGACTTGCCTGGTCTTGTTTTTCCTGACTGCTGAACCTGATAGGCTGGTATTATTTATGACTTATGATTCTGACGAGTAAAACCTGTTTGTTCAGCCACCCATTGAAGAAGACGATCAAAGCTTAGAGGGGCCATCCCCCCCCCTCTCTGCCGGGTCTTTTGTACAAGAACTATTTCAGGCTCAGTACAGGTACGCTTTATATCCAGTAAATCTTTTTAACCAGTATGGCCACATTATCCCTCTGTTATATTAAGGGATTACATTTTTTTTCCCAACAGGTCTTCTCTTACTTGCCCACATTGCCAAAAGCAAAGCAATACGTTCGACCCCTTCCTCTGCATCTCCTTACCGATCCCACTGCCGCACACACGGTGAGTTCCTCTCTGGAGCACGAGGTGTGATCAGTGGAGTTCACTTCCAAACCAAAACAACAGTGTGTTCATTTTAGGAGTGTCATCAGTTCAGAAAAAAAAAGTGAAGAATCATCTTGCCACTAGAATACATGTGAACCATGGCTTTACAGCAGGAGCAGCCTCTCTTACATCAAGTATTTTATCTGTTTTTGCCAGGCCCCTGTATGTGACAGTGGTGTACCAGGGGAAGTACTCTCACTGTATGAGGATTGGAGTTGCTGTTCCCCTCAACAGCACAGTCTATCGCCTCAGAGATGCCGTGACACGTGAGACCAAGATCCCAATGGACCAGGTACTATTCTGGTCTCCTATCGGCTCAGGGTCTCACAGGGAGACTATGTTAGCTCACTGTTCCTGAAGCCAGTTCTAACTCTGAGCAGGACTCAATACAGGGAAAGAGATTTTTAAACACAGTTGTCCTTAGGGCTGCAACAGCTGAGTGCTAACATTGATTAAAGCTTGACAGTATGAAACATTCAACGAAGTGGACACCATATTTTTAAATGTACTCTTTTCTTCTCTTTCAGTTTGTTTTGACTGAAATGTACTATGATGGTTTTCATCGTTCATTTTGCGATGATGACGATGATCTCGACATCATTCAAGAGAGCGATTCTATATTTGCCTTTGAGACACCAGAGACCTTCAAACTGGAAAACATACGCACAAAAAGAGGTGAATTATACTTAATATTTCATCAATTCCCATTAAATATCCCATTAAATTTATACGAGCCTTGTTTGTGTCTTTCACAGGAAGTCTTCTGGCAAACCTGAATCATAACAACTTAAAATATGGGACAGAAATCAGCAGGACATCGTCTTTCATGCAAGGGGCCGTGACCCCTTTAACTGCATCACCCAATAAAAACCTGGGACCAGAAAAAATGATCCTTCTGGTGTGTAACAGGGCTTGTACCGGCCACCAAGGAAAGAGGTACTGCAGTCACAATATTCTATGTAATGCGATACATGACCTGTTTTCTTTCTCATCATTGTAACACAATAACCAGTTCAGACAAATGGAAGCAGTGGGTTAATGGGCTATCGGTGTTGTTCAAAGCTTCCTGGTGAAATAAGAGCTACTAAAGCTTCGCACATGCTTTAGGTTCGGCCTGCCGTTTGTACTGTACATGGAGCGCACTGTGACCTGGGACGCTCTACAGAAAGAGATCCTGGAGAAAATGCGTCATCTTCTGAGGCCAGGGGTCTACATTCAGGTAGGAAGAGGAACACGCTGTTGCAGTAAATAAGCTGATGCTACACACAGTAAGCGGATGGATAAGGAAAAACAAACTAAACATGAGCCTCCAAAACGAGTGACATTACTATTTGTGAAATTATTAACTGGCATCCCTGTTTTTCTGATTACATCGTGTTAATAAGCTAGTCGCACTGACAATTGTGTCTCTGCATAGGTCGGGCCTTTCAGTCTCCGGGTGGTTGGCGTCGTCGGTATCACCTACCTCCTCCCCCAAGATGAGCGACCACTCTGTCACCCAACCGTGGACAGGTCAGTTCTGCTGTTTAATACAACATCTATATATCATATTGTGATTTTTAAGTCTTTTACACACACACACACACACGTACATCTCCTTAATGCTGTGTGTACTGTGTACACTTTCATAAATCTCACCCCATTGACAGAATAATGCCTTTAACAGCCATTCGTGATGAAAAGGTGGAAAACAGTCAGTCAAATGTAGATGTTACGAGGCAAATATACACAGACTTTTGTTTAACAATACTAGAATCTATTTGAATTTGCATATTGATATTGAATCAAATGTTTGGAAGCTGTATTTTACTTGTTTCCATCTTGATCTGTATCCCTTCCGAACAAACACTGTACACACGCACTAAAAGGTAAAGACGGGCATGACGTTTAGGTAACAATGACATCCATCTGGTTAATGTTCTCTGTGAACATATGCACCATCACTGCTTTGTGCCCAAACATGATTTAAACTGTTTGTAAAAATGCTAGTTCAGCACATTTGGTTTATTACCGACTTAAGTCACGAGATTGTTGCTCAGTAGAGGTGCATGAATCAACGTTGTGACTGATCAATGGGTTCTTACATGACGACTTGAATCTTTCTGTATATATTATTCTCTGTTTTGCACACAAATCAATAACCGCAGAAATAAATATTAACTTTGAATTTACTGCTGATCTTTGAGAGTGAAGATTATTTCATTTACCATAAACCATCTTCTAAAGAAATTTACTTCACACTGATCCCGTTTTCAACTTCTTGTAATTGCATGTAGATCATGGAACACACGACTTTGCTTTTCTTTCTAGCCTACAGTGACATAAATGAAATGTCACCTGCCTCAGTGTTTGTTTCCCACTCTCACTGTTTCCACTACAGAGCATACAAGTCCTGTGGACAAGGGGGGCCGCCACACGTGAAGATTGTGGTGGAGTGGGACAAGGAGACCAAGGACTAGTGAGTGAAAAATATTCATTATTGATAAGTTTATTCCTATCGACAGTATGTTTGTTCTGCACAGAATCAAACCAGGTGTTGACATGTGTTTGCTGTAATCTTCATTGGAAACTAGACTGCGTACACCAAACCACATTAAACCACGCTGTTCATTTTAATAACGTGCTTTGTAGACATGACGTTGACGGTGTTATTACTGTCATTTTATTGAAGGCCATGCCTAAACAGGCAGGCTAACAAGATAGTCCGTGTCAGCAGTTATGTAGAAAGCACAGCTGAGGTGATAGAATCAGTTTTAATGTAAAGCAAATACTAATGAACAGGCCTGAATCTTGCAGCGGTGTGTGTCACAGCCACGACACGTCATCAAATCCTGTTTCTCAACATGATGCGACTGCTCATTGACTTAGAAGGAAACAACTTGTCACATTCACAGAACATAAGCGTGCCCACGCATCACATGTTAAGAAAACAGCTTTGCAGTTTACGGTGAGGCAGAAAGAAGTGATGACGACGGTCACTGCATTATGCAGGATTTCTACAGGAACTGTCGAGTTAAGCAAATCCTCGCAGGAGTCATTTTACAGGACTAGACATCTTATGAAGTGCCTCTGCTATTCACATTATTTACTTTTGAAAAATCAAATTGCTTAATCTACCTACAAATGGTCTTAATTTGAAACCACAAGTAAACACCAGAGTTTGAAGTTCAACAACATGTTTGCTCTTATTTTATCCCTTATTACTTTATGTGGTTAGCACACATACACACCCGTTAATGGTCCGTGTTCCCACAGTCTGTTCGGACACACTGAGGAGGAGTACATTCCTGATGCTGAGAGTGTGTATCTGCACAGGGAACAGCATCATCAGCCGCAGGCCTGCACCCTCGCTCAGTGCTTTCAGCTCTACACCAAGGAGGAGCAGGTAACACTGTGACCGCACACATGCACGCAACAACACAGTTGATCACTGACAGCACAGACAGTAGTTTGAAGTACAGCCTCACACGTCTCCTCCTCACCAGTGTTTCATTCCTCTGCTAAAATTCAAAAAAAGTCTTTACTGTGTATTTGACTTCTAACGCTACGTTTGGAAAATACTGAGCACAGGCCCACGTATACACTGTGGTCTGTGTTGAGGAGAAAAGCTCCGGCCCTTGTCCCGTGTGAGGCCTCTTTTATAAGCGGTGTGGTGGGAGCTCGTCCTTGATGGATGCTGCCTGGCTGTGTGTGTTTCAGCTGGCCCCAGACGACGCCTGGCGCTGTCCCCACTGCCAGCAGCTGCAGCAGGGCCGCATTAAGCTCAGCCTGTGGACGCTGCCGGATGTGCTCATACTGCATCTCAAGAGGTTCAGACAGGTATTTGAGCTCAACCAAACACTTCACATAGAAATGTGGAACCACATCTACTGTCTGTGTATCAAGAACAAGAACCGCTCTAGTTTTTATTTTGCTTTAAGATGTTGCTGTTCTATATACAGTAGGGATAGGACATGCAACAAAGGCCCTAAGGCCGGAATCAAACCAGGGACGTGGCGGTTTTATGGCATGTATTGTAAAAACTCAGCTACCAAGGCGCTCCAGACATATTTGTTTTATTGGTCCTGAAACTCTGAATACCGTGTTTGCACTAACATTTACACATTTTTAACGATGCCCAGCCCCACTCAGTGTTTAAGAGATTTCATTCTATTTTCTGAAGCATGTATCCTGTTATAGGTTTGATGAAGTTTATCTTAACTGTGAGAAAAGAGCTGGCTGGCACTCAAAAACAGTGAATCAAGCAGCTAAAAGTCCCGAGTAATGGTTGTAGCTACTGTGTACTTTTCATCAAACCCAAATAAAGTGAGACCTGACTGAAGTGCTTTAGGCTGCAGTCGATTAAATACTGATGTTATAATGCTGAACTCTGTTTCAGGAGGGGGACCGGAGGGTGAAGATGCAGAACATGGTGAGGTTCCCGCTGATGGGCATGGACATGGCACCTCATGTGGTTAAGAGAAGCCAGAGCAGCTGGAGCTTACCCTCCCATTGGTCACCTTGGAGGCGCCCTTATGGCCTGGGAAGAAACCCTGATGACTACCTGTATGACCTGTATGCTGTGTGCAACCACCATGGGAACATGCACGGAGGCCACTACACAGGTAATGCTGTGAACAAATGTTCCGGTTCAAATGTTGTATGAGACTGTATAGTTATGTGTTCATCCAATTTTAACCCATTCTTCCCTTCGCACTCGCAGCCTACTGTAAGAACTCCATTGATGGTCAGTGGTACTGCTTTGATGACAGTGAGGTTTCACCAGTAGCTGACGATGACGTGTGTCAGCAGACGGCCTACATACTGTTCTACCAGCGGAGGACGGTTATTCCCTCCTGGTCGGCCAACAGCTCTGTTGCTGGTCAGTACTCGTCTCCTACCTTCTGCCAAATATCTGCTGTATTTAGAGTTCATATTGTCTTGAAGTCAAAGTGTAGTTTTATAACAATAGCTACAAAGATATACTACAGTAGCATTGTGACAGAAGGTTTAGAGCTGAATACTGGAGAGAAACCAACCAACCAACCAATCTAAACATCTTAAGAGTAAAGCCTGACTCTGAATTTTGCCATTATGACTTTAACTCTTCTCACTCCTGTAAAATTTGCCTAAAACGCCGATCAACCGCGTACCCAAAGTAAACTGACAGCTCTTATTGAACCATTGGGAGTACATGTATGGTTTTAGTCTCTATTGAACGGCAACACTCTGAAGTTTCTTCACAATCAGTCAGAATCACTGTAAGCGCTACTAGCATTGAGCTATGGCGTATTCAGCACAGTGAAAGAGAAGCATTTTATTTCCACCTAGATTTGTTTTGGCCAACAGATGGCAGCAGCTATCTATGGCTGGGATTTACAGGCCTGAAAAGACAATACTACGTTACCATGGAGTCATGGTACCTGGTATAAGTTACAATTTGATAACAATACAACAGAAAATTAATATTTTACACGTGGTTTACTAAGAGTGCGGCTGCGTAAAAACGCAGGCTCGCGTCACCACGTCAAAATGCATATACTACGATAAACTACGTGTCCGAAATTCAAACTACAGTTTATTTCTGTCGATGTATGGTTAACTATATCATATTTAACCATTGTCAACTTTCACAGATTCTTGAAAGTTCTCATAAACCAGACTTTGGTCTTGATAATCTGTCCCAGTTACCTCAGTCACGGTTTCAATTGCAGTTTTGAAAACTTTCCCAGCATTCAATCTGATAAATCTGCATATCCTTGGCTTCGTAATTTCATTGGCTATATGGAGCCTGAGTGTGAACAGGATCTGTTGCGATTGGCTCGAGCTTTACCCAAAGAAGAGAGGCGGGCATTGTCTTTCAAAGCGGACTCTCGTTGGCTGTTCCAGACTGTGGCCGGGCTATAGAAGCTCCTATTGGGTCAAATGAGGTGTCAGTCTAACCGGCGGAATGTAGGCTCCATTTTGCGGTCAAAATCTCCGCTCTGTTGACACGGAACGTGAAATTATGCCCGAAATATGATTAACTGTACCTGCTGTTGTTATTGTATCTTGAAATGGTTTGCAGAAATCGAATTACAAGAACCGTAGCTTTCTAATGAGATATCACATTAATACTCATCGTTACAGAGCAGTTGTGTACATAACACAAATATGCCGTTAACACGGGCCATCAGAGTGGGATGAGGTTGTGCATGTATCTACAATTACAATATTTTGAGAGAAATAACTGGATAGTATACCTCACCGTGGCTCTGAAGCTTTGAAAGAAACTGGAGTTTTTATTGTCTTTCCACAGGTTCCACCAGTTCCTCCCTGTGTGACCACTGGATCAACAGGTTACCTGGCAGCAGGCCTGCTAGCTTGGCCTCTGGCGCCTCATCCAGACGCACCTCTCTGGCGTCGCTGGCTGAGTCGGTGGAGTTTCCAGTAGAGCGTAGTGAAGATGATGGTGAGACAATGTTTACAGGTGTCACATTGTATTTCTCTGTGGTGCTGCCTTGTGTACCAAGGTTTCCCAGAGATGTTTATAGTCAGGAACTCTGACTGGATGAGCAAGGAGAACATGCTCGAAAGCTCTGTGCTGTTGGAACCCTGACACAGCGAGTGAATCCCAATAGAGACGGTGTTGGCTTGGGCTTCAGTTTAACCCTCCTGAGTCCCAAAACAATGTTGGCCAGGCAGACTGCTATTTTCACATATATCACTACGGATAATGCTGCCAAATTATGTAATATATTTAGCTATACAACCATTTTTTAACTCCTAATATGTTTAAATGCATCGGTACTTAGCGAAAGTTAATATTTTATTGCTCGTGGTCATTGTGGCGGAACCGATTCCTAAGATTTCAGCTGATCGGGAAGAAACCTGAGAGCCAGTTCCCAACCACATAAAACACAATGTTTAATTGGAGAAACAAATCTCACAATCTAACTCAATCAGAAAAGTTAAAGCATCAAAGAAATCTCAAATTAGCCTAAAGACCAGAGTTTGTGGATGAACTGACGTCTGTATTAAGTCTAGGAAGAATCAGAATGTCCTCTCCTGAGCCCCGGTTAAAGGGTTTCATCACACGCTGATATTGGCCGAGCAGGGAGAAATGCACCAAGTAATTAGGAGCCGACCCCCCCCCCCCCACACACACACACACACACACACACACACACACACACACACAAAGGGAACGACAGCAAGTAGCACAGATTGAGAGATTTACATCCTTATTTACTCATTTATTAAAGTTTACTAAAGATTTTCAACTTACTTTTGGAACAAATTAGAAAATGTAGTTAAATACAATTGTTGTTGTAAATGTGTTTATTGAGGGTTTTCTAACAGCATTTATTTTTTTAACGTTTCTTTGTTTTAGGAGGATTCTCGGTCCGCCCTTTTGTGAGGAGCATTCAGCATCAGAGCGTGTCCTCCAGGTCGTCCCTCGCTAGCCCTTTAGCCTTCAACGATAGCGGCATGAAGCCCTCTTGGTCTCTCTCTGCGAAGCTGCACATGAGATCCAACTCGCCCTCACGGTTCTCCCTGGACTCTCGATGTTCCCCTCCTCTGGAGAGGATAGGAGAGGCCTGCGACGACAAAGTTTCCACTTCCTGTTTTGGCAGCTACAGTAGACATGAACGCTACTTTGGCAGCAGGACTCCTCTGTCTATGATGGAGAGCAACTTCGGTGACCAGGACGACAATACCAGGTTCCTAGACATGTACTGCAGGGCTCCCACTCCAGCGGAAAAGAAGAGCGCCAAAAATGAGGCAACTGAGAACAACAACCAGATAACAGCTATAGACCAAAACATTCTCCCCGCCCAAGCTACTCCCTCCAAAGAACAGAAACGTAAGAGCAGTATCGGAGGATTTGCCTCAAAGGCAGAAATCACAGGCTCTTCAAAGAGTTCCAGCAAAGTGGAGCAAGAGAAAACCTCCAAAAAACGTTTGTGCTCAACCCATAAGACCTGCACCGCTGAGACGTCTTCCAGTACTCCCGTGAAAGGCAAAAAGGCGAGCAATACGAAAGAAAAGAGTGTAAACGCCAAGAAAAGCACCTCGACACCCTGTGGAACTCCCTCCAAAACAAAGGAGGCAGCTCAACCTGTAGCCGTAACGCCACAACGTAAGCCATTCGTCCGCTCCACACCTCAGTCCTCAGCTTCTCCGTCGCCGACCGCAAAGAAGAACTCCGGCGTCACCGAGAAGAGCTCCGCGAGTGGTCGCAAAAGGCTGGTGGAAAGGAGCTACAGCAGAGATTCTATGCACACCAGCCCCCTGGTCGACGGCCTCCGAGGCAGCTTGGTAGCCCGCTCTTCCCTGTCTAAGAGCGGGGAAGGCAGCCGGCCCGAGAGGAGATCTGTGAGGAGCTCCAGCAGCAGCTCCTCTGTCACGAGCCTGCGCTCGCCCAGCGTCTCCACCAGAGACCTGCAGCGCAGCAGCAAGTCCGAGGAGAAAGGCTTGTCCTTCTTCAAGAGCGCCCTCCGACAAAGGGAAAGCCGCCGGTCGGCTGATTTGGGGAAAAGCACCCTGCTTGGCAAAAAAGCCTCGGAGAGGACATGCAAGCAGAACGGACAAGCCAAGGACATCGGCGGTGATGCTGGAAAGACGGGAGCCGCCGTGTCTTCACAGGCCTCCACAGAGACGCATGGAGGTGAGTCAAAGCCAGGGACAAAGGCGTCTTCCAAGCCCCCCAGCTCTCTCAGTCGCACTCTATTAAACGTTGGCAAGTCCAAGTCTTCCACTTCTGAAGTAAGTCTCAAGTCTCCCTCTAACGGGAAGAAGCCTCTAGAAAGGACGGCCTCTTCCCGAAAGCTGTCGTCGAGCATGCAATCTCCTGCACGTACAACAAAGAGGCCTCAATGATGCACCCGTAGTTCCATCGACCGTACATAACGCAGCTGTTTTCTTTGTGCCTACGTTTCAGCGAGAACCAGACGTGTTTGTTAAGAGACACATTTCTGATGTTATGCTTTTGCACCAGCTGGCTTTGAGGTTTGAATATTGGCGGCCAGCTTTGAGTGTTCTTTTCTGGACCAGTGATAAAGTACATCCTCTGCACATTTAGGTGCCAAACAGTTTGTTGGTAGATTTTAAATCTGTGTGTGTCGTTACCAATTACACCTCTTGAGCAGTAGGTCTGGATTTGATGGGAGCGAAACAGTTTCGATGCTTTCTGGCCTTTAGGGTACATGAGCATGCCGTCTGCATTCAGCTGCACAGCTCAACCTGTTTGATTGCTTGTACTGGAGGCTTATATGACAGCTGACAGAATTCCCTGTTGCAATCTTGAAATCCAATTATCTTTCCTCCAGACAGGAGGCTTGTTATGTCTTTGAAAAGCTGCAAACATTAAGTTTAGTTTGCAAGATTTCCTGCCGACGGCAGCAGATTTAAAAAAGCAGCAGCTCGTGCATTTACAAACATTAACGGTTTAAGAAGCCTTTTCACTTCGTATGCACCAACAATGCATCGTTTGCGCCTCTGCAGATTAGGATGGAAATGAGCTGGGTGTCGATGCTGAAACCTCACTGCTGTTCTACAAGCATTTAAAACTACATTGGTGAGAAGCGTAACAGCAGAAACAGTCTCTGGACAAACACTGAAACTGGGTTGATGCTCACACACACACACACACACACACACACACACACACACACACACACACACACACA